TCTTCCGTCGTGTGAATTGTTTTCTGCGTGAGATTTTGAAAACAAAAAAACAAAAAAAATGTGACCGTCTTTCTAGTTTAAACCTTGTCAAGTGACCCGTTGCATTTGTGTTGAAAACAGCTCAAGTCCTCGTGTAACTATTAACAAAACCATGCAAAGTTATATCGACGGTGAAAGTCGGCAATCACATAACTCGGTTTGCGACGTCGCAGACTTCCTGTCATACTTTATTTTTTAAATGGAAAACTAGTCAACGGCAATTCTTTAAAACTGTCATGATTTTTCTTCTCAATGCGAAGAAAATTCTGCAAAAACTTCAAGAAATAAAATCAATTTGTTCTCCTTTAAAAAAATGACGTAGAGGCGGAGATTTTCAGACACCGCAAACGAGTTATGTGATTGCCGACTTTCACCGTCGATATGCTTCTGAAGAAGGAGATTTAACAAAAATATGGGTAAACAAGGCTAAAAAATCAAAAACTCTAAAAGGCAGTTTTTTTAGCCTCAATTTTTTAGCCTTTGTTTACCCATATTTTTATTAAATCTACTTCTTCATTCGTATATTCGGGCTATGTCTTGTGCTTTATCGTTATATACTTCCTTCAACGAAATTTTAATTTGAAGAGATTTTCCTGGGAGACAAGAGAGAGGGAGGACTTAAAGTGTTCGTACAACCTGGCATTAAGAAGAAGGAAACAGCAAAGGAAAAGGAAAGGGGAGTAAAAAAGGGGGAAAAGTTTGAAAAATAACGCACGTCCGGACCTTTCAACTTATGAAGTCGGTGACTCCCAATAGTGGCGCTCATTTAATGGAATTTATACTCAAAGGCTGAAAATTATAATGGGTTTGTTACTCCTGCGTCCGTCTAAAGTATAAATGAATTAGCACAAAACAGCTCGGGGTGGGAACATGAGAAAAATCTTAAGCCGATCACGCTCCCTGTCTTGTTTTCATTTCCAATATAACCGCGCATGGTGCATTGGTGCATCCGATCCGTGGGAAAACTTTATCACTACCTGACCTGCACACAGCGTTTGGAATGCTCTAGGCACATAATACACGTGCCATTGCGTTGCCAAACCTCCTATGAACCTTTCATTTAATATTGACTACATAAACCATTGAACATGTTAAGAATGAGATTACTTTGAGCGAACGAGTCATATAGTGGACTTTCGCTGGTTCGAAGTCCTGTAATGGACCACTAGACAAGGTACGAATTTCAGCATTCCGATACATGTTTCTTAACCAAAATTTCACATAAAACAAGATGCGCACAACGAAAATTACCGAAATCTACTCCTTACAAAGATATTTAATGATTCCTGATGCGTGAATTCAAACCACCCGCTCATTAAAACTCAATGCTCTACGTGATTCACATGGCGCGCTGAACATTATCATGATAGTCTCTGCGATGTAAAAATCTGGCAACCTCAGTCTTGACGCTTTGGCTCAGCTATAGCAAATTGCTTATAGTTTGAACGACACGATGGGTTTTGAACATTGCTCGATTGAGAAGCTTGCTGAAACCGTTGTAGTGCGCGATTTGACTCACGTAGAGCTTTGAGATTCTTGTGAGCGGGCAGTTGAAATTCCTCGCAACAACAACGGTGAAATAAAAACGTTAATATCTTCGTTAGGAGCTGGTCTCAGTCATTTTCGTTGTGCGAATCGTGTTTTACGCAAAATTCTGGTTAAGAGACTTGTATCAGATTGCTTAAATTCGTACCTTTTCTAGTGGTCCATTCCAAAAGATTGTAAATACGAGGGAGAATTTGATTTTTGTGGGAGAATCTTTCAATCAGGAACTTATTAACCATTGATCAAAATAATTAAAATTAAGGATTTGTTCATAATTTGTAACCGTTTTACTCAAAGGAGGCTATCTGAAGCTGGTTACTCTATGATACATCCAAATTTATCCTTAACTCTCCCTTTTGGAATTGAAGATTTTGAATCACATTAACATCTTGCCTGTAACACGGAACATTTGCTGCAGTATTGACGAAACAAATCCCTCGAAAATGTCAAAATCCCTGGAACTTTCGAGATGGAAGCCGGGCAAGTTTGTGTTCCTATCCGTAAGTTTCTTAAACGTCAAAGTGAAGGGATATTTTCACTAGACTGCTAATTTGAGATAGTTAGCTTCTTAAACTCAGTATAACACATTGAAGCTCATTCTGGCTGTAATTCATTAATTTTACCATCAGACGGCGGAACAACAAACTTATTATCTCTTGCATTTAGCGCAAATAAAGAACTCCCATGGAAGGGATTAATCAAATGGGATTTCCTTTTCTCCAACGCACAAAATGAGGAACAGCTCAATTTGTATCGCTTTGTTCGACTTTATGAAGTAAGCTGTCAAGTGCACTCTTATCTAAGGGAGCTATGATAGATTCACAATGGAAAGTTTTTCCCAATTGATAGGTAGACATTATTTTCATTCTACAAAACCCAAACTATAAATAATATTATAGTTAGTACAACGTCCATGCACGGAGAAAAATAACCTCGTGCGTGGGACCCGAAGTTTAGGTCATATGGATGTTTGAAGTTTTCGGATTGAGCATCTGAACACTTTAGGACTAGCTGTCGAGGTTCGGATCACACATCTAAAACTTCAGTTCTTACATCTGAAGTACTTCAGATGTGAGAACCAAAGTTTTTCGGAAGTGAGAACCGAAGTTTTTCGGATGTGAAAACCGAAGTACCTTAGATGTAAGAACTGAAGTTTCAGATGTGTAATACAAACCTCAGCAGCTGAACCTAAAGTGTTCAGATGCTCAATCCGAAAACTTCAGAGATCCATATGACCTAAACTTCGGGTCCCACGCACGAAGTTTTTTTCTCCGTTTAGGTGTACACGGAAGATTATGTCCTCCTAGGTTTCGAGATTGCTGTACGCTGTTAAACTTATACTGTGAGTATCTTAAGGTTCAACAAATTTTTTTATCAAGTCTAGATGTCTCTGAATGGCATTAGAAGCCTAACATGTTCACATGAACAGAGTGAGCGCTTACATTCGGCTCTAATGGCATGGCATGGAATACACTACGCCTCTTTCAGTTTTCTACGTTCACTCTAACCAGTTCGCCTGCAATAATCTAATTAGGCAATTTGAGCGGCTTGAGAGCAGTTATAGTAGCTTTGCTAGTTTGCATGTAAAATTAAGTTTTTATTCGAATGTTTACCTAGTATTCCGAAACTTTATACCTAATACCGAGCCCTATTGCGGAAAAATGAGTATAACTACGAATATGGTGATGTTTTTTAATTTTTTTAAAAATTTAGTCCATCACAGAGAGAACACGTGATAGTAATCCGCGTTCTTTAAATTCCGATTTTTCTCTCGTTACTTTTGATTCAATTTACATCGTTGAAAAATAGAAAGACTCGTTACAAAATAATGGAGTAAATGGGATTTCAGCCGGATTCTGTTCGGAAAGCAACGTCATAGCTAAACCTTACAGCTTACAGTAAAAACAAATACGTGAACATTTGAATGATCTATATTAAAATGTTTTAGAAGCTAATTTAATATTCAAAATAAGTTTTTTTTTTTTTTTTTTTTTTTTTTTCATTTTTATGGGTATGTGGGAAGTGACATTAGCTGATGATGGCAAAACCGTGGATATGTTTCCGTCTTATTTGCAAAATTAAATCCCTTTTCAGCAACTTCACTTCGCTAGTTACTATGACTGTCGGAATTTTTTTTTTCATTTAAGTAATAATGTATATTTTAACGCCGAGAGAATCTTAATTTTTATTACCCGCATTACAAAATGCTTTGTTTTAATTAGGTTGATAAAATTTGAAAGAATTTGAATACTCTTTTTTGCGGTTAGGTGTTTCTGAGTGTCAAAAAGCGCTGTAAGACAGATGGAGGAGATGGTGCTTTTATTTTTGGAGATGGCTTGCGATTAATTTGATTATGAACACCTTATTTCTAGTATGTGTTACTTAAAGTGCCTACCCCGCAACGTACTTTTAACGTTAAAAATTGACCATCTACACAATTTTGAAGGGTACTTGCATGTAGAAAAAAGTATTTATGTATATTTCTCCATGAATTAAAAAAAATCCGAATCCTAAATAAAAGGCTTCAGTATCTTTAAATCTGAGCTATTGAAAGATTTTTTAACTTTTCAATATTCATTGCTCTGTAATTTTTACTGTTTCCCCAGATATTTTGAAAGGATATTCGAAACAATTTCGGTGAAGAAGATGAAAATTGCGTTGATATTTCCAAGAAAAGATTATGTGATCCTTGTTTACTCGTAGCGTTTTATCGCTCCGCCGAAATTTTAAAAATAAGATTTAATTTTTTATTTCTTGGAAAAATGTGATTATTTCTTCTTCTAAGTTTGAAACAAGTTTTAATAATTCCTTTCCTGAAAAATTTTATCCGTGATCTATCAATCCTCATATCCTGAACATTAGTTTTAAAAAATGTCTCCAGCACTTATTTTAGAGTGAAGATAACCTACTTAAAGCACTATAGCCACCACTTAACTAGCCTACTTAAAGCTTCAAGAAAGCGATTTTGAATAGTCATCTCCAAGAACAAGAAAAAACACTGAACATGTGACCCGAACGGTAAATAACAGGGTGGTAGGATATTGCTGGGTCCAAACTATTCTGTGAGAAAATTAAAGCCAAAATTTCCAAAAAATTTCACCAGAGTCAAAAATATGAACTCTGACGAGTATCAGTGTCAGGCTGAGGAGGAACAATTCTGGAACCATCCACAGAAACTAAATGTATCTTAGCCTGTACATTTTCCTCGTGATTATTTAAAAATAATGAAAAAATACGCAGATATTTTTGAAATGACCTTAATTACAATTCATAAGCGTATATTTCAGATATCTGCCGCGTGTAGACGTTTTTGGTTCAAACATGATACCATAATTTTCAACTTTTTGTACTGTAATAATGAATAATTAACGATCATAATTGAGAACATAATCAAAGGAAACAAAAAGAGTACTTACGGGAAATGATGGAATTTCTTTTAACTTCTAGAGCACTGATCTCAGTCTATATCAACGTGTTTAAACTTGGGAAATGTACTCAAAAATGTAATTGTTCCTTATCAATCTCAATTAAATGCACTAATATGATTAAAATAAAGACCTTTTAACACTGACTACGCCACAATTCTTAATAGCACGGAACACGTTCTAAGAGTTATTTAAATCTGAATAAATACGTTGATTGTTGAAGGAAAGAAAAGAAACATTCGAGTCCAGAAGAAAGCTTTCCAATAAGGAGGGACCGATCATAAACGCGGAAATTCGAAGATAAACTGTCTTAAATTTTGAACGCTGGACTGTTCACATGAAAATGATTCTACACGACCTCTCTGACACCTGAAAGAAAAGGAAGCAGTCACTTATTTTTATAATCTTAAAAATCATAACAAATCCGAAGACGACAGTCAAAGTTAGTAAGCGAAGATGCCCCCCCCCCATTTTTCTCCATAAAATTTGTCTTTCATAAATGAAAATACGATTATTAAACCGTTTAAGATGCAGCCTTACATGGATTCTCAGAGGAAGGTAAAAAAGGACTAGTTATTTGCTCAGAAACCACAGTTAGACTAAAAATCCAATTTCTTTGAAAGTAAAAATATGTATTGCACGCAGAAAATCTTCCATAGTTTTTACGTATCATTGACGTTAAATAGCTACTATATCATTGTGTCTTGATGGCTACCGACAAATTTCCAACTAAAACCTCTGACTGAAGCAATTTTTAATCAGTTTTAATTTTTCATTATAATTTACGTAATATAAGATACCCCGGATGGATGGCTAAATTGCAGGGATACTTTAACGGAAGGAGAGTATGTTTCTAAAATTTTGAAAAAAAAATCAGCAATGTAATGCTCGAAAATGTTTGATGCAGTCACATATTTTATCATTAGACATGCATTTCAACCATCATAATGATGACATCAACTAAAAAATCCACAAATTTAGGTATAAAACTCTGATTGCTGCAATCGTTTCCGGCCTCATGCCACGTAAGAGAATCGTGAAACCATTTCTTCTCTTGACCACCACTACTAGATTAGCTAAAGGATCCACAAAATTAGGGTATCAAGGTCAGGCTGTTGCAGTCATTTTCAGCTAGTGTGAGGTAAAAATCATGAAATATTTTCTCCTCACGTTGACAAAAAAGAAATAGGATACTGGTTAAATATTCATTAAGGTCTCGATAAATTTTACGGGAGGATTGAGAGGAGAGGAAACACGTGGTCGACACGTTCGTGAGCGAGAAAGAGGACACGTTTGACACGGAAGCGCGGGAAAAGAGAATCGTGTCGGAGGCGCGACGACACACTGAGGCGAGGGTTGTACGCACTTGAAGCACCGCCACACGGTGTCCTGCAAGAGGGGGAGGGTTACAAACCCCCCAATCCCCCGCGCTCACAAGACGCAAGCGCCTTACCACTGCCTCCCTTTCTCTATAGGTACTGCCTTTTTGCGACTTTGCAGGTTATGGGCCTCATTTTTCTCGAGCAGAAGGCGCTGGATTAGGATCAAATCTTGCCACGAGGAACGACACAGTATGAAAAAGTAACCTACACTGGAAAAAAAACACACATTGGATCTAGAGTCCAGACTCTTGAAAACATTGACAAGAAAAAACACTCTTGATTCAATCCGATTATTGCTTAAATCAAAAGGGAATCCGCTCAAATTAAGAGGCTTGGTTCTTGATTTAAGCAAAAATCCTATTGAATCAAGAGTATTTTTTCCTGTCGATGTTTTTAAGAGTCTGGACTCTAGATCCAATGTGTTTTTTTTTTTCCAGTGTATATTTTGTGTTTTAATAGATAGGAGGAGAACACAAAGTGACCAAACATGTGGTTTTTGGGTTATTTTTTCTTCGGGTTACATGACCACATCTTTATGGATCGAAAATTTGCGGGCTTTTGTTTAAAAATCAGCGGGCTGATTGTTGAAATTGTTAGACAAACCGATAGACAAATAAGACAAAAAGGATATGAAGGGGTCCTACTGGTGGAAACGCGTGGTTGCAATGGACAAAGGAGGTAGGTAATAGACTAACTAACGAAAACCTATGAGAGACCCATTTATTAGATCATCATACTTTCAGCTTAAAGGCATGTAGTTTGTACTCAGGGGCAATTACATTCTACTCCCAAGAAAACAGTTTCTTCCGATGAGAGAAAACATTTTCCTTTGGAGTTAAAACTTTTAGGCGCGGGGCCACAATTATTATTGAACGCAGGATCAGTTTCTACTAAAAAATTACCATTCTCGTAGGGAACCTATGGTTCCTCTCTCCCTCACTCCGAATACGGATGCTTGCTAATCTTTGTCACAAATATATCAGAAAAGCTCCGGGCCGATGGGTGGTCCTCTTTTTTAGATGTCAAACAGAAAAGAAAACAAGCGTTATTTTCAATACGGCAGTGATTTTTCTGGCGGCTACATATTCTATGTCTAGGACAGAAATTCCTCGTTCACCGAGACATCTTGCACTTTCTGGCACAGATTATACCTATTTCTAGAATGAATCCTTTCCTAAGCTCTAACTTGTTGTTCAGGAGAGAAAGTCACAAAGTAACCGGAACGTGCAGTTAATATGCGGTTTTTGGGTGATGATAAGACATTTTGTCAACGATTTTTTGTCCGCGCACTTTTTTTTCTAGTAGTGTATGTCCACGCGTTTTTTTGGCAAATTATATGCTAAATGTTATTAAATACAGATACTAGGATTTAGTAAGTTTTGGACTACCGCTCTCCTTCTGCCCCGTAGCGCCGTGACACGCTGCGGCGCGGCGCGGGCGGTCGGCTAGCGCGCATTGGCGCCTACAAACCTAAGGTGATACTTGAAGCATTGCGCAATGCGTGAAGTATCCCCTTAGGTTTGTAGGCGCCAATGCGCGTTCCGCGCTGGCAGCACGCCGCGCGCCGTTCCGCTCTGTGTTAGGCTCTAATATTTAAACTCGCGGAATCAGCGATTTTCAACTCATGATTTTGGGATGTTCGCACACTCTGCGTGGATTATTCTCATTTAAATTGATGGAAAAAATAAGTATAAAAGGAAAATACGACGTTGTGTTTTGTAAACATTAAGGTGGTTCAACCCTGCTAATGTATTTGCTCCCTATCTTTGCATGGAGAGTTTGTTTTGATGTTGTTGGACTCTCAGGATAGCGTGGGATATCCCCTCCATTTTGGCCTCAACTTGAGAGCTTTTTCTGAGCTTGGGAATTGATTTCAGAAAAAACCAGTGGCACCATCATGTTTCTCGCTAACTTTTACACATGCAGTCAAATAGCAAATTCCTCTCACATGCAACATCTCCATCGAAGGGAAAAGTCACGAGTTTTTCAAAATTTATTTTGAGAATAGAAATGTTCTTGTTGCAAATTTTCCATTAAGATTTAATGGTGGAATTTTGTAAGTGAAATTTGGCAAAGCCGCGGAGGAGTGGAGGGGAGGTCGACAGGCCGCAGGTTCCTCGGCGGTGCCTTCCGTGTTCCATGCCTCGGTTTCGCGGCCCGGCCGGCCCGGCCCGGCAGTAATAGACTGGAGCAGCACAAATTATTATTTAACCCGAGGACTTCACCCCCTTTCCCGGCGGCTAGTTTGCGTCCCTCCTTTGTCGCCCTCGCTCTTGTATTTTTTCGCCATATTTTAATTGGTCGCGCGCCGCTCCTCGCCCGGCCTTTGTTTTTTCTGGCCTCTGGTATTTTAGCGCGCTTCCCCAGCCAGCGCTAACTCCGAGCATCTGCCCTCCCCAGCGAATCTGTTGCACGCTCTCAGAAATTTTTCCTGGAGTACCTTTATAGACAGAGTATGGCCACACTGAAAAAAATTCTCGGCGTTTTTACCAAGGTCCGTTGGTACCTTTACCATCTCACTTTTTTTTTTACCAATTATTGGTAATTTTGCCAAAACAGATTAGGAAGCTTACCTAAAAACCGGTATTTTTTACTGTTTTTTTTTTCAGGTAAGAATACTACTTTTATTAGTAATCAATGCCCGGTAACTTTGCCATTTTATCTCGGTAATTCTACCACAGTCGATAAAAAATATTGGCTTTTTTACTAAGGTCCAGTAAAATTACAGAGGAAGTTCAATAATTTTACCAAAATTTCTCGGTAAAATTACCAATTCCATAAATGGTAATTTTACCAAGAAAAAACTGGGATCAAATACAACCCTGAATTCTTGGTAATTTAACCCTTTTCTTAGTAAATACACCGAGATTTTTTTTTTTCAGTGCATTCGTATCTTTTTACTACAGGAAAGCTGTGCCGGTTTTTGATTTGTCGACCAGTGTTTAGGCTTCATGATGCTCTTACGGCCGTAAATAAACAAGCAAGATGACAACTCAACGTAACATTGATAAGAAGCTAAAATTTGACAAAAAAATCAATTATACGGCCGTAACAAGTTAAACTAGCATATCTGCCAATAACACATAAAAAACACATGGAAACACCGTCATTTTGCCTTTCGCCTTTATCACAATAGGATGTAAGATGTGCATAACCTCAAACTTGCTTGCTGATAACAGCCATTTTGTTTGTTTATTTACGGCCGTAAACACATCGTGTCAGCCTATTTTCTCGCAACCAATGAAAAACCGGCACAGAAATGGCCACACTCTGTCTATAAAGGTACTCTAATTTTTCCCTCTAGAAGTAATGCTAATAAAATGTTATGTTTTAGTTTTTGACGACTGTCCGTCGAGATAATACAAAGTATTTGAGAAATTTTGGAGACTCAGACAAGGAAGCGGATCAATGAAAAATATACTTAAAAAACTCACTTGAACGTAAAAAATGATTTTATTTTTTTTTACCAAGCTTCAAATAGCCTATTGGCTAATCCCACGATTATCATCAGCTCCAGCTGAGTATTGTCTGAGACCATCAAACTCAAGTCACCTGACCGGGAATCGAAGCCGGGACCTCGTGGTCATAGGGCCAGCGCTACAACCACTACACAACAGGAGACCATTTTTTAAATTAAAATTTTAAATTGTTATTAGTAAAACTTTACTCGCAAGTAAGTTTTTTAAGTATATTTTATGGAAGTTTTCCGAGTCCACGTGAAATAAGTCTACGCACCTCTTGAGTGCGTGACACAGAATCATTTATCTTCGGCTAAGCATTGACGCAGAGAAAAACCAAAAATTAGAATTCGAGTCACAAAATGTAGGTTCATATTACTCTAATGAGTTTCACTTTCAATCTAAGACTGAGGGGGAAGAGTTGTCAGCTTAGGAAGGTGCATCGGAATACTCAGCTGTAAAATATTCCCATAAGAGAGATGTCCCTGCAAAATATTCTAGTCTCAGCATTTTTTGTCGTCTCGTCACAATTTTAGTAAGTTTGCTCTATATTAGACCTTAATAGATAGACCTTTTGAATGGAATATTTTCCACCGCCAACAAAAATTTAAAAAATACTCAATAAAAATAATTCCGGTTTTAAAAAATTGCTACGTACACTCACGGTCAAGACAAGACTCGAGTGAGGCTAATCGAGAAGATAAGTTTCTTAGCCAGTGTTTCAACTCCAACACAATCGCGTTTCTAATATGCATATTCCTTGATAGATCGCTGCAAATTGCCATATAAATCTATCGAATTTACGTATTTTAAATAACGTACACATAGCAATTTTCACCGAGAAAAAAGTGAAGTTGATCTAACATTCTGGATGTAAGAAAAGTGTGCAAGAACTCACGAAATGCTAAATTACCCGCTACGGCAGTTAGTTTTACATCTTGATATTGCTAAAGTAACTGCTGTAGCAGTTAATGCAGCATTTAGTAAGTTCTCGCACACTTTTTTTACATCCTGAATGTTACATTAACTTCACTTTTTTTTTCAGTATACCTCCTCACTAGATTCCTCTCAAGTGCCTCTTTTTTCTTCAAAAATATGGGAGTCTGGAAGATATTCAGACGTCATGTCATCTTTGTAGTGGAATAAGAATGAGATAGAAGGCTTATTCGACGAGAGGCATAACTCTGCAAAAAAACGGACCTTTGTAAACTGCCGATGAAAGAAACGTCACAAGTATAAGCTTTGTATACTTTCGTAAGTTTGTGCCTAGGAACAGCGTGAATCACAATACTTCGCCGAGAATGGAGAGCACTTCGCATGACGTTTGAAGCATTTGAAATACGCCGTTGGGCTAAAGACAAGGTTCCGTTTATACTCGCTTAGATTCACTTTGAATTATCTGCAAAAATGATGGAACAATGGAGAACGCAGCTCCAGCTGAATAATTAAATCTTCAGGTTTGTTATTCCTCCTTTGAGTCATCCTCCCTCCTCTGTTCGCAGTTGCGCT